TGTGTGTGTGTGTGTGTGTGTGTGTGTGTGTATCCATAGCTACACCAGTCAAGGAATAGCCTTTTGGCCTTGACTTCTCAACTTCTCCCCAACCTTGAACTTAGAGTAACTGAAAGCATCATAATAATATAGGGAGAAAGAAAAAAAAGATCAGAGGGAACAAAAATAAACTGAGCTTGGATTAAACCCAATTTGGAGAAGTTTTAACTTGAATTTAAAAATTAAAATTCTGATTTTAGACTGTACTGGACTTTACAATATCTGGATGAGAAGATGATGTATTGATACTAAACAAAGTCATAAAAGCTATTATACTGGCCCAAGGTATTAGCCACAGGTGGAGTTAAATAGATCATCAGGAAGTGTTTAAAATAGACATGTTGGGAAGAAAAATAAAGTTCCTTTAAGTTTATACCCTAAGTTTAAATTGTGCAATAAGACAGTTAACAGATGTAAATGTTGAAACATTGCTATAGCCTAGAAGAAAAAGAAAAGCTCTTACCTGACAGACCAAGAGGTATCTCCTTGAAAATCCCCCGGGGTGATTAAGAACACTAAGCTTCAGGATGGGCAGAGAGGCCTAAAAAAGGTGGGAAACAGAATCAGAAAATCTGCTTAGTATCGTCCATGTCCCACACTAGCAATGGAATTGGGATCACTCTGAATGGTTTGGGTTGGCGGCGAAAAGACCACATGGACACGGAAGCAATTTTTCACAAAGCGGAGGTTGCGGTCGGCTCTGTGACCTCAAAGTCCTCTTCCACACTGGAAGGCAAGAGAGTGAGTGCACCTGGAACCCTTTTATTTATAGAGAAAAGGCATTTTATATAATATTCTAAACAAATAAGTCAGGAGATAAGGTTTCAAAAGGTGTTGCCCAATCCCACTGGGTAACGCTCAAGTACTGAACTGAAGCACTTCATTGAGAGCGAAGGTAAAGGCCACTTGCTTTGCACAGCGAGTGGGTAGAAATGCCAGTCCAATATCCCCTTTATTCAAGGCTGAGAGGGGATGCTTAGCTCATGGGCAGGGCGGCACCCCACAGCTTAGGATGGTGCCAAAGACAAACTTGAACTGCCCATCTCAATTTTTCTTTAAACCAGCCCTAATAGTTCAATGATCCAGCTGAATTCTTTAGCTCAGAGGGATAGAAAATGTTTTTTATAAAACTCAATGACTCATAGTATCCTATTGCTGCAACTTACTAGATGTTGAGTTTGTAATTGTGTCTAGCAAACACCTGCTCTTTCATTAATATTCAACACAGATATCACTTCTGGAAAGCCTTTTTCACATCACCAAACTGTTCCATGTGTCATCTAGGTGTCATAAGAGACTTAAGCGTGTCTTATGTGTCTGTGTCTCTTTCCCTAGACTATAAACCCTTTGAAGAAAGACAGTATCTTGTTTTTTCAGTCCTAACAATAGCAAAGTGCTTGACGCAGAATAACATGGGAAAGGAACAGTTTGGAAAACTGTGTCAGTGGGCCAGTTCTTGAACCAATCCTCCCAGGAAGTAAATATGGATTTGTCATAAAATCATTAACTGTTTAGAATTTTAATACTTATGAAACATATGTTTTAAATCCACACATGGATATGAATCTTTACTGCAAAATAATGCATGCTTATCATAAAATTTTCAAACAACACAGATAGTATAAAATTAAAGGCAAAAGTACTCACCCTCCCTCCACAATCCCTCTGCCCACAAATAACAGAATTAATACTGATGTAAATTATTATGCATATATATGCATGCAAATGCATAACCACATATGGTTTTATTAGAACCAATTGAACTAATTCAGAATTCTATATCATCAGAATACCCACCCTTGGAAATATTTGGTCTCCTACTCTTCTCCAATCTGAAATTCTTTCTAATCCAAGGGAATGAAATCCTGGTCTCATAACATTTGCCACTGCTGCCTTCTGGAAGTTAGTTCTCTTAACTTTTATGAGTCATTAATATAAGCTACCTGATTTTCTTATCCCCCACTACTCATTAAAGGAGTCCATCCTCTGTCTTGTGTGTGGAGCCTTGCAACTTAAAATACTAGAGCTTCATCTGGAAATTAGTCAAAAATTCCAAATCTCAGGTAATACTCCAGAGTTTTGGAATAAGAATCTGCAGCATAACACAATCCTCCAGGTGATTCATATGCACATTAAAGTTGGAGAACCACTTGTCACTTGGAGAAGTACAAAAAATATGAAGCCTGGGCTCACATGAGAGATTCCGATTTGTCTACCATAAATCCTGGATATCAAGAGTTTTCCCCAGTGGTGCTAAGATGAGAAGACAAGGCTGAAAATCACTGATCTAGACCATTGCTACTTAGTATAGCCTGGTGAACTAGCAAAGTCAACATTACCTAAAAGCTTGTCAAAAAATTAGACTCTCATGTCTCAACTCTGTAGTGTGAAGAGTGTCACTGAATATCAATTTCACATACAATCTCAACCTCTATGAGATAGATCAACATTTTCAGATTCTACATGAGTAAGATCATACAGTACTTGTGTTTCTGTCCCTATTTCACTTAATACAATGATCTCTAGTTCTATCGATGTTGTTGCCAATGGACTTAATCTTCAAGTAACCAAGAGAATATAGAGTTCTGTTTAAGTTGAAGTATTTTAAGCTAGAGTGGAAAGGTTTTCTCACAAACATCTCAGTATTAGAACTGCAGTCATACATAAAACTACCATTGATCCCCTCGAAAGTGATTCCTTAATGAAATTCAATCTCTTTCCAATAGAAAGCCTCCTAAAATTTATCTGGTATTTCCCCTGGATCTTCTCTTTCCTTAACGCTAGCCTATATACTAGAGTTAATATAGAGAGAAACAAGGCAAGTCCCAAAGGTTAGAAATAGAATGCACTCCAGGGAAAGAAGGAGAGCCTCAGAGATCACTTGGGGAGGTACCCAGGGGTGTTTTACAGTAATTCCTGAAATGAAACGGATTTAATATCCTTCACATGTCAAATGATTCTGCAGACTCCTGGAAAACAAGTCTCTGGAGTTTCCAGAAATTAAGTGCAATGAACCATATACAATGCCTGGTATTACCTGGACTTTTTC